ACCCAAGTCGATTCCGTGGTGCGAGCAAAAGCCATACGGCAGGCGCTCAGACTGGAACGGAGCGTTCTTTCCATGTGCCGGGTGCAGCTTGTTTTCAAACAACACCTGGTCACAGACACTGCCGTTCACTATCAACGCACTTGGACAGGAACTTGATAAGAAGTATACGCGCCAAGTCGCCGACGTGATACCAGTCGCGAGGTTCACTTCGCGAAAGGTGTCATAAACAGGCTTGCATCCAAGCAGGAACAAACGCTGCAAGATCAAAGCAGTATCCGTGTCCGAGTCGACATTGGAGATGTCGATGAAGTACTTGTCGCCAAGGATGTCGAACTCCTTAAACAAGTAGGCACCACCGAGGATATTCACCTTCGTCCGTTCGAGTTGCAGACAAGCTTTCATCGACTTCACCTTCACTCTGAGATTGCCGCCGGGAAGCTTTGAGACCTGGCCTATCTCGTAGCGCCGGTAGAGCTCTTCAAGAAATTCATTGCCATGAGTTGTTCCCGAAAGCGAAGACATAATCTTCTGGAGCGGCGTCTTCACAAACGTCCGCCCAGTCTCGATCACCATGTCGTACTTGGCGCGAGGAAGAACATACGGCCGAGCTTGATCCATCCGTGACGCGATGAACGTCCAATCGCCACCAGCGGCGTACTGGCGCTCGATCCATTCGATGTCGCAAGCGAGTGGCTTCGGGGTCTCCACTCGACGTCGCACAGCATCGTTATCAGCACGATTGCGACGGAGGTGGTCGTGTTGGGACAGCACGTCAGCCATAGTCGGTCGTTTATCCGCAGGTGTCGACGCGGTGGCGTCAGGTGGTGGCACCGAGGACTCCATGGACTCGTCCACGGGATGGTGCAGGGCGCGCTCAGCCACCATCAAATCAACCGCAGGGTCGTCAGAACCGATCGTCACAGGAGCAGACGGAACGGATGGCCCAGCTGGAGATGACGACGAGGATGCGTCAGGTTTAGGCGCCAGTATGCCGCCAGAGAGAGGTCCAGAACTCTCCAAATGTTCAGATGAGGATGGGTTGAAACTGGAACCAGTCGGATTAATGGGGTGAGCAACAGGTGCAACAGGTCCCAGCTGCTTCAAGAGAGGTGGTGAGGCGAGTCAGGCTGTTCCATGGGTAAAGGGGGAGCAAAATCGAAGATGGGAGGGGTCGGATTGTTTTTTTAATGTTGAGTTGTGTGTTAGCGAACAAATTGAGAAGTGCTCCCGTAGCTCAGTTGGCTAGAGCGGTGGTCTTATGAGCCACAGGTCGAGGGTTCGAACCCCTCCTGGAGCACATTTTACTAGGTAATTGCTAAGACGACGTAGGTGTACATTTCAGCGCCAAATCTAAAAAGCGTATCAGTCCAAACAATTTGCGCGTGGTGAAGGATTAACAACGCTACGATTGAATATCTGCAGCATCACTTCTTTCTTATTTTGCTGCCCTTCACACTTCGATCCGTCACTATTAGTTTTCCCCGATCCTGCACCCTCCTTCCAGACGGTGATTATAGCGACAGCATTGCTACTGCATGAATTTGGCAAAGCAGGAATGCGCTTATTATACGACTGTAAATGAAATATACTGCTTACATTTCAATATGCTCGCGACATATTCATACGAATACCTGCTGGAATTGTTGCAGGGTGTAATTGATTATCGACTTCTTAGCCGAATCTTCAGGTCCAGCATGAACGCTTACAATTGAACCATTTATTCCTACAAATGTAGCTTCTTCGATTTCTATCATTCCTGTTTAGACAACAGTACTACAGACTTGCGTTCAATACCACCAGCAATATATTTCAGTAGTCATGACTACTTTGACGGTGAGTCGACTTCCAATGACGCTCATAGCTGAAGACGGTATCTTTGATACAGTTCACTTGTTAAGAAGGTGTATTGGCTTAATAAAACTTACATATCAACTTTCTCGCAAAACGGGGTGGATGAAATAGTCGGGGTAGAAAGTGAGTTGCAGAAAAAGAGTGAGTGAGGAGCAAACAGTGAGTAGTAGAAAGTGGAGGGAGTTGTTTCAAGAGGGATCAAAGTGCTAGTTTTACACTACTCGACACATCTGCGAAACTGAAATAATGAAGTGGTGCCGCCTGTTGCACAAAATTATATATGCCATCAATCTGTGTGCAAATTTCGGCCAGCTATCTGGCCGTTCATGTCTTTTCCTTATCGAATTTATGTATTCTATCTGAGCTTAAGTTTAATCTGAGCACGGACAGACGACACCCGTGACTCATGACTCACGCGTCTTGGACTTTATTCGTTTGACATTGAACCGAGTCAAGGTTCGACGAGCTTACCGCGCCGCGAGAATCAACGCAGGATCTATAGGCTCGCTGAGCTGCACGACAAGGTTTGCAACCTTTCCTGGGACACTGGCAGACCATACTGCTTGGTGACGCGGCTTGAAGGATGTTGATGGTGTCGTGGCAGCCACATGCCAAGCCGCGACGAGTGGAATTCGATTCTGGGTAGTTAGTATTTAATGGGTGAAGAAGAGCACCTTTGGACCGGGCGGTACGAGCGTGCGCTGCATCAGCGCAGAGGCAGGCGTATACGTGGTTGCGCGCGGGACAGGTTCGCCACATGATTCACAGAGACAATCATGTTCACCGAAGCTTCCTTTGCGTATCGCACAACGCTGATGCCGGCGTCGTACGCCTTCATCGCGTCAGAGGCATCCGCTTGAAGATGTTACCCCCCCCCACGAATCGTTTGACGATGGGAAGCCGAACTAGCGGTCGAAAACCATCAACCTAGCGTTCGAATTTCCCCATAGCAATACCGAAAATGCGTCTTACTTCCATCCTCTCGGTCGTGATTGCGGCCACTTTTATGGTCAGAGCAACGGACTTGGCGACTCTGGCAACGTAAATTGTCACGAGGTGATAACCCGATACCGTCTTACACTATATGGGAATTAGAGGAGCGCTGTCCTTATAAGGTAAATTTAGCTCTGTATTTTAGTTCTGTTTTTGATTCGTACTAAGTACAAAGGAGTTTTCTCCCGTGAGAACCACTCAAAGTGGGGTTATTAATTATTATTTAATTGTTGAGTCTGGCATACCAATAATAGCCAATAGTAAATAACTTGCAGTATCCGCTATTCGGACTGCATATACCTCATTATGTAATAAAACCTATAACTACCTAATATAATGAGCTACCCCATTACATAAATAGTAAGTCGGACGTCTCACTAAGACTTTCACTAGAGGAGGCAGGACCACCTTAGCCTCCGGCTACTCTAGGAGTTTTTTCCATCACACTCTGTCCCTGATATGTCAAGGCTCCATTAATCTCCACGGATTGCTGTTGTAACGGGTTCGTACCGTTACACGCCATCAAGCACGATATGGCAATCATAACGTTCCATTAATGTATGCATAATTAGGTAGACAATATCGACAATATTGCATAAAGTAGGAAAAGAAAAGATACGAATAGCGTATCTTTTAGTGTCATTTTTTGATTGGTTGAAAGTGGGGTTTAGCCATTTCACCCAATAAATATTTGACACGGATTTGGGTGGTTCACAGAAGGTTTCGGATTTTAGATCTAACCTGTATAATAATAAACAGAGTTTAAAATAGTCTCAAGTACGCAAGTAAATTGCATACTTCTTACGCTTCCTCGTAAGACCTTAGTGTAAGCTACGTAACGGAGCTCTTGCCCCGTTACAGCTACAGTGTAACCGCGTTTCAACCATTATGCCAAAGAAGGATCACCAATGTCAGCAGGTACACCTAGTTGGGTAGTACGATATCTGTATCTGTCCCATTAACGAATTTACGATGAAAAGATGGTCTCATTTGGTTAGTAGCAGATTCTGTCCCTCGTCCGGAGTCTCCGCAGGAACGTCGTAACTGAAACCGCGCCGTATCACCGTCGGCGGGTCGCGGTGCTCTCGAATACGTTCTAGAATCCAATGTGGGTTCCCAACGCTGTCAATCAGTTGGAATGGGCCATCACAATGGAAACGCTCACGTGATACCGGCGAATGTCCTTCCGGCACCCGACGTGAATGAGTATCTCGCAATGGAGATTCGAGAATTTCAGCAGCGCGTCAATTTTGCTGGAAACCACGCGGAGCAGGCGAGGGAGCTTGCGGAGATCGCGGACTCACGGGTGTCAGCAGGTTTCGTCAAGCCTCTCTAGTCTGGCAAGTCGGTTGGAACGGTTGAAGCAGTCGAATGCAGCGCTTTGTCGGGATAACGCTGTACTGCGAGGGGATCGTCAGCCGAAACCACCGAAGAGACCAAGATATCGAGGCCCGCTTGACGCTCCAGAATTTGCTCTTCCCTGATTCTTCTGAAGAACAGCCGGCCAATAAGATGTTAGCACCTTGGCGTAAAACGGCAAGCGACTGACATTGTCGTAGGAAGTCAAGCGTATACGCATTTTCAGTCACCTTAACGACCTTAACGGTTCAATGTAGCTTGAAAAAGCTTGCTTGTGCCAAAGTTTGCCACAGCTGCATCTTGAATGCCCGTTGTGGAAAGCAACATGGAGTCACACCTGAGAATGTCGTCGCATGGTTCTTGTGTCCGCTGGCTAGCGTTTTTTTCCTTGTCAAGTTTTTTCTGGCTAACTGCTCTATTGCATCTCATACAAAGCGAGCTACTGACTGACGCTGTTGAGCGGACGCCTCAATATCCGCCGAGTCAGTTGGGCTTAGACTCGGCAATGGAGCATGAGAATCCATAACACCGTGAGTTATACCATCAAAATTTGGAGTGAGCTCGCGCTCGTTTCCAGTGCGAATCGTTTGACGCTCAGCGACGCTTGATATGGCCCGCTTTGATATCTAGTCATACGTCAGTGCTTATAATCGCGGCGCCCGGTGCCACAGCTCTCGTTGACTTCGATGCACATGTTGTCAGATTGATAATGTCCACAGCGCCCATCGCTGCGGATTCGTCTGACTCCAGATCATTTGGGGTCCGTCCCCCACCAAGAGTAGCAGCACTTGCAAGACCTAGTTGAGTGGATGACGTGCGCTCTTCACGTAGAAGGATGTTAAATCAGTCGAAGCGTGGACAGCATTGTTGGGAGCGAGCTCGGTCATGGGGAGAAATGCGCTCCATGTCGTGTAAGGTGTAGCGTAACTGCGCAAACCTCTCCAGCACACGATGAACCCGCTCTGTTCAACCATCTGTGTCCAGATGAGCAGCAGTTGAAATCAGCAGCGTTCCAAGTCATTTGAGTAGCCGCGACCGAAAGGCGGATGTCTTGGTCTGACACAATCGTAGTCGGTATACCATGGTGACGAAAGACTGTATCAATGTAGAGTGCCGCCGTTTCCTCCGCGGCGATGGACGCGGAGACAGGAGCAAGATGCACCATCTTGCTGTAACTATCGACGACCACGAGAATGCCAGTACACCTTCTTATGCTCCTGCTGCACAATATCTTTCATACTGAGCTTATCGTAGATCTTAAAAAATTAATCCATCAAACCAGAAATGCCTGACTCCGCGCCTTGCAGATCTGTATTCACAAGACTCCCTTTCACCGCGGTCTCAAATTATAATAAGAAATATACTCGGGCTCGCGCGCCGTAAAAAACGCATTCCACTTTTTCTCACTTATACCAGTCTTGGATGATTCGAAATCGCAAATTTGCATCAAAGTGCTCTGCTCGATGCACGCACTTATGGACATCACAAAAAACATTACCTGTGTACCTTGGTTGGGTGCCCAAATTCTTCTTATGGAAATCGTGTAGCTGTCCATAATCTCCCTTTTTCCTTCTCGGAGCTGCCTCTGTAGACAGGAGGAACGGGCATCATTGTTCCTGCCACTACGGTTTTTGCTGGCGCTTTTGTCGACTTGCGTTCGTAATTACTTGACTCACTCTGCGCAAAACGCCCCATATTGCCGTGCATTTGCAGCTCAACGGCCTCAGCCAGACTCTCTAGCTTCCTTTCTTGAAGTTCCACGGTCTGCGGCCTATGGCAGCCGATATTGTTCTTCGATGTATCTCCGTTGTTCTTCCACCTGGCGTAGCATTTGTTTTTGCTTCTACATCGATTGTGCCTGCTGATCGCGCTGTGCTTGCAGGTATTCCACCGTCTACGTCGCAAGATCTCCTGTCGGGTATTTTCTTCCTCCACCTTCTTAGCTGTCATATGTTGAGCAGATAAGGAATGTTGGGACAGTGTCTCAGCCTGTCGTCTTGCTTCTGCGCCCTGGAACCCCTTGCTGCAAGGAAGCCTGAGTAGTAACGGTCTTTGTGAGTCAATCAGACGTGGTCGCATCTTCCCTATAACAGGTGTTGACGTTGAACTTGCGCTTGGCTTGACCTACTACAATCAATAGGTTCTAACGTATTGAATACTGATGATATATTTTAATCTTTAGTTCTCAACCTGCTTGCTATCTTGAAGTCACTTTCTCTCATACTTGAATCATTATACCAGACTGTTGTAGCTGTTGACTACAACGGTGCTGGAGCCGCAGGGGTTGCAGCCATGCTGCATAGGCATCAAAAGGAATCGACCAATGTGGTTGCTATACCTTAGTAACATTACATGGCATAGACAGTAGCTATCGTAATTAGCCTTTGATATAATTCCCTTCTAACAATTATTGGAAGGTGCGTCTAAGATCAAAGAATTCTTTAGTTATAGGTTGCACGACGACAACCGCCTGGCAGTATGGACAATAATAATGATGAGTCCATGGTGCCACGTGCCGCTCCTAAAATGCCCGTTGCGATTTACTCCGCCTACTATGCCATCTGAGGCAGATTGATGATCTTGTGGTATACGAGGACGAGGTGAGACCAGAAGATCAATCACCACATGGGATAGGACTCGTGATGGGATGCAACACAGACGGTCAAGTTGCAGTGCTATCGCACACTCCTCGCATATGCATGTGATTGCATGTCATTAGCATGATAAGGAAAATTTATTATTTTTACTTCTAACTTCTGTGCAACAAGTGCACTTGCAACATCTAACACATTATGAACCCAACGTATGGTGTTGGTGATACAGCCAGAGTAACTGCACCATCCGAGGTAGTTGACAGTCTCGGCATCGACCACCATCTTGAAGAAAAGTCGGCAGTGCCCGGGGAGACACTGAAAAGGCGCTCCCAATACTTGGGGACTTACCCGAACGCATGCGTGTAGTGGAATCCTTTCAGGCTGGACAGTCGATCAGTACAGGAAAAATCCTCGAATTCAAGTATTTTTAGCTCGAGTTGAGTCAGGCGTAAACCTCCAGACTTTGAAGTGCACCCCAAACGATCTTCAAATGTCCCGCCTACCACCTACCTTAGTGTGCACCGGTCAATTTATGCTGGAGGCATCGTGCAACCGCCGCCCCAGGTTGACGCCAGTTTTGAAATGGCACAACCACCTGAGCCGGAGACAAAGGATCAGATGATACATGTAGCACGGGTCACTTAATGAATGGATTCTTGACAGCGGGTCAAGTCGTCGTTTAGTGAACGACTTACGCCTTCTTGATGATCCGGTAATTTTTTATGTCACACTGCTGCTTCCGATGGCTGTCCATTACGGATTACAAACCAGAGAAGTGCTGCTATCCGTGTCTTGGCACTCGATGTCGAAAAAACCATCCAATTTCTCGATGTCCAGTACGCTGAAATTTGGAGCTCAGCTTCATCTCCTATGGGAAATGAAGAAGAAGCGATGTGTTCCAGATTATCGAGAAGGGAGGCGTGTTTGGTCTCTCACAACGGCGGCGTTCCGAGTATGGATGTTGACCGTGCGAACAATGCATTGGCAGTAATTTTCGATGAATCCTCATGTGGTGAATATGGTAACGTTTAAAAGGCGAAGGAGGTGATTATGGCAGTAGTTACCCACATACCATTACAAACAGGTCGGGTTTGCACTGTGTCAGCTACTTTACTTTCTCCCCCGTCGTGGTCTCTTACGTTACGACAGTATGACACGCAACCCCGCCTCTGGTATTAAATTGACTAAAACCAAGCGTGTGAACTGTTTAGCCTGCGCACAAGGCAAACAGATAGAATATATGGAGTTACGCAAGGATGTGGGAAGGAACTCGCCCATAGGGTTTATGTGTTCTGGTCTGAAAGGCCCTATGACACCACGTGACCGCCTTATCCATCGATACTTAATCAATTTTATTGATCACCGATCAATTTGTTGTCGGGTGGTTTTACTAAGTCGAAAAACGTTGCGGCTTTACAATTTAAGGCTTTTTGGTGGCTTCAAGCGTGAATATAATTACCGTGTACATGTAATATGTAACGGGGTTACACGAAAGTGTGTATTGTACATACACACCTGCCACACCAATGTGGTGTGGCTGTACCTTGGGTACAAAAGTAGGTGATGTGACCGTACCTGAAGTACAAAGGGTCGCATCGTGGCAGAGAGCCACGTGGTCACTATACTACTTTAAAGTATAGTGACTATGCATGTTTGCATAACAGTAATAGACTATAGAGCCGGTCAATAAGGACTAGCACTAATTATAGAGTAGATGCTTCTATATTTAGTGTTAAGAGATAAACATAAATATAAATCAGTTTCAAACCTGCTCTGTAAGCATTACTGCTTGAGCGTTCATTTCCTTTAGAAGGAATCTGTATCGTTGATACTAGTCTCTCTGAGACTCGGTTATCAATAGCGATAGGCATAAGCTTACGAGCTAGCCTAGGAGAGTTAAGCACCTAAGACGTCGAAGCTCTCTGAGCTTGTCTTTCTCTGCACATAGTGCATAAGTAGCTTTGCTACCGTAGCTTTGCTACACCTGGTAACACTTGTAGTCAATCCCGCACCTAATTTGTTGCGACTACTTCTCTATGTGAGATGGACATCGATGAAATGTCAGCGGTTGGCCTGTCACAGACCCAACAGGAAGGGTTGCAGAAGCTGATCCCTATCCTTGGCCCTAAAGGCGTGAAGTACCTCATCGCTCAGAGCAAAGAAGAGGTTAACAAGCGTATTCATATGCTTGATGGATATATAAAGCTCTAGTCGAGAATGTAAAGGCACAGATGCCTTCTTCTGCGCCTTCTCCATGGCGACTATGGCGCAAGAAGTAGTCCGCAGACCAAAACCCATACATATGGAAGTCGATAAGTTCGACGACAAAAAACGGTGATAACCTTATGCTTTGGTTCCGACAGGTTGAGTCGGCTATGTTTATAGCCGACATCAACTATGAACCGTACCGTGTGGGTTTTGCCACGGGATAGTTGGGTGGATTAGCCAATCAGTGGGCATTCACATGTGATGCATCATTGCAAGATGCTTTTACCACATGGGCCGATCTGAAAATTCAGATGACCCGGCAGTATGCACCGCCAAACCAAGCACACCGTAATCGGTCGCGGTTTTTGGCGTGTCGCCAAGGCAAGCGTGAGCTTGCGGCATATGTACAAGAGTTGAGAACTCTCATTGCTGCCATGGTCGTAGACCCTGAGGTAGCGACCGTCACGGTCTTCATGGAGGGCCTCCGAGTTGGCGTTGCCAGAACGAAAGTCTTCCGGATAAACCCGTCCTCATTTGAGGAAGCTGTTGGAGTGGCATGGAATGCCGAGACCAACTTTAAGGCCGCTAGGCCTGCCACTTATAAGTACTCGTCTGATGGGTCTGTTCCCATGGACTGTAGTCAAGTGGAGGTGAAGAAGCTGAGCTTCAAGCTGCGGAGCAGCAATTGTGCGCAGATGTTATATTTGCAAGAGCACAGGCTATCTGATGGCAAAATGTCCTGCAAAAAAGGCATTTTGGCTTTAAAGGGCCGACGCCCCATGGGTAAACCTTCTGGTTTGCCGCGGGGAAACGGCGGCACCCAGTAGGCGCGGGGGAAGAACTGAGTTCTGTTGAACCTCTAGGAGGTAGAAATAAACAGGGCAGCCTCCAAAAGATCCGAACTCTCAAAAACGAAACGAGAATTCAAGCCAGGCTTGCTAGTCGTCGAAGGGACGAGTAAGGGCTTTGATAAGCCATGGATCATTTTATTTGATTCAGGGGCATCGGGAAACTATGTGCGCCGTGCCACCGTGGAAGGTAGTCAGTAGTATGCTGAAGCGCTTGAAGCGCGTGAAAGTGACACAGTCACAGTTCGCTTAGCGACTGGTATGCGTGTTACGGTACCCAAATTCCCGATGAACTTAGATGTAAAGTTCTTGGACTTAACAGCATGGAACGCTGTTTGGTCTTAGACCTGAATGCGAGGTATGACCTCATCCTAGGCATGAAATGGCTAAAACATCATAAGCCATGGATTGATTGGAGGTCGACGACCTTAGGCGCAACGCTCAATGCTCCTGGTGAAGCTCTGGAGAAACATGAAACCATCTCTGCTAGGAAGCAAATTTGCTTTTGGCGCGGATATTGGACCGAGTCCGTCAGTATGTTGGATGTCGGAATATTCGGCTTTGCAGACACTGTAAGTGTCGAGGACAATAGTTCTAGGCGAGGCCCAATGACTGTCGATAGTGTGGTTGAGAACCCACTAGATGGAACATATGACATGTGTCATGAGAATGATGTTACATCACTAAACACCGTGAGTGGTGTTGATGGCTGCAAGCCAAGATGTCAGGAAATGAGTCCAAGTGACATGAGTGACGAGAAAATGACCCTAGAGGGCCGAGTGAAGTCACAAATGGATGTTGTCTTCGAGGATAACGAGGTGCAAGCACCTAGTGACGAGGTACTGGCCCAAGAGGGTCGGGTGAAGTCAAAAATGACGGTTGTCTTTGAGGACAAGAGGTGCGAACACCTCATGACGAGGCATTGACCCAAAAAGGTGGGGCGCAGTCAGTAAACGAAGTGGTCTTTGACCTTAAGGTGTGTACACCTGTGGACGCTGAGATGTCGGATGCTGAGAGCATCATGAGTAGCGATGATAATATCGTGAGTGACGGTGATAGCAAACAGCTATATACACTCGTCAATGGTTTGACTGGCCGGATGTTGAAGAGCCGGTGGCTCTTTCAGCAATACCCGCAGTAAGTGCTCTGCTAGAGCTGGACGAGCTGTCCTTTGCCGAGTTTGGCATTGCCTTACAGGCAGGAAACATCGCCGAAGTGGTCATTATACGACCTGAGGAGGAATTAAACTCCTCATCGCTTTTGGATAAAGCAGCTCTTGAGGATACCAAGAAGGCGCTGA